CTAAGGGTGTTATAAAATGTCTTTAAGTACTTATTAAAGCTAAACCTAGGTTTCGTTCTCTGGATTAAGGTACATGAAGAAGTAACATCTGGTACTAACTGCTCTACTAACTGTCTTGACTGAGGACAAACATAGGTGAAAATGCTAATTGAATATAATAATAAATAAATAATAATTTATTTAGAATTTAGAATAAACAGAACCACGATGTGACACATATTTCAGGTGGAAGTCAGTGTTGCTACTGTTTACCAGTGTTTGTTATTCTACTTGCAGAAGAACTTTAAGGGATGAATAACTAAAGGACAGGAAGAATTTTGAAGTAGACAGGATAAATCAGAAAAAAATAGGCCAAAATTTGATTGAGGATTGAAAGCAGCAAAGTTACAACAGTTTGACTAAAACAAAGGAAACTTACGTCACCAGGCTTATTTCGCAGCCAGCCAATCAGGTGTGAACTTCTACCATCCAATCACAACGCTCCATTCTCAACTTCATATTTCTTCCACTGTCCACATCTGTTCAGAACGTGGAGAACACTCCTGCGATCAAACACAATGACGGTGATCTTCACCTGTGTCAGTGTTCTCCTGCTCTGGACTCTGTGTAAGTACAAGACACAAGAATGTTCCAGATAGTTTGATACACTTTTATATCTTTTATGTTGTATTTCAGGTGCGTCTCAGCCACGTGAAGTCCAACAGCTTCAATGTTTTAAAACTGCAAAGCTCGGAGAAACTGTGGAAATAAAATGTTTGACCAAAAGTCTTTGGAGCAGAAGAGTGTGGTACAAACTGAGCACCAATAAACGTCTACAACTGGTCGCATCAACTAATAACTTGTTTCAGCTGGATTCACCTTCAGACGATTATTCAGTAAAATCTTTAACTAATGAAACCACTTTGACCATACTGCACATGACGAAGGAGGATGTCGGCACATACTACTGTGGAATAATCGACACACAGGATGTTCTCTTTGGATCAGGCACTGTCCTGGAGCTTGAGGAAGAGTCAAAGTCCATGCAGTCTGTGCTCCAGAGTCCAGACTCTATCAGAGTGCAGCCAGGAGACTCTGTGACTCTCAGCTGTTCATTTAACACCAGCCTCTGTTCAGAACAAACCAGTGTCACTTGGATTAAAAGTGCTTTTACAACTGAAATTATTGCTCAGACCAGTGGAAATGAAAACATCTGTGGAAACACTGGAGAAATGGATTGTGTTCATAACCTGACCTTGAAAAATGTCACCTTCTTCAGAAGATGGGACCTACCTCTGTGTGGTGTCTGCCTGTGGACACTCACTCACTGGGACCAGGATTCATGTGGATGGTAAGGCACCTGTTGATTTATAGAGCTTTTTATTGACAATTTATTGTGTCCTTTTGCTTTCATTTGAACATTTTTGGACCTTTTAAAGTTTTGATGAAGACAGCTAGGTTTGTGAGTTCCACCATCAGATCTCTCCACTTTCCTTCACTTTTTTTCTATATATTGAGTGATGATTGTTGATTTGCTCCACAATTAACACCAGTAAAAGATGTGACTTTTTGTGGGAGATCTGCCATTCACTTGTCTTCACGGAGATGTCAATGCTTTTCCGAGTATTGCATTAAAACTGGGTTTGTTCTTTTACCGGTGCTTTGATTGACGTGAAAAAAGTAAGAATCATTCTGGCTGCCATTACCATGCAGATAAGCAGGTGGTAGACCCCCATCAGAAAAGTAATAAAAATCTAAAAATCTAAAAATAACAGAAGATACAAAGCCATTTATTATATTTTATTTATTTATTTTAGGAATGGGATTAAAATAATGCCCTACTCTTTTTTTTTTTTTTTTTTTTAATCTTCTTTCAATATGATTTAATGACAATATTTATTTTTTCCCTTAATAGGTACATTGTTTGAATCAGATTCCTTCAATCCAAATGTCACGGCTGTGATTGGATCAAACATTGTGGTTGGACTGGTGGTGTTTGTGCTTCTGTGGGGGATTTGGAGAAGCAGCAATAAGTCAGGTACTGCCTTTATAGTTCTGTAGAATTTCAACAGAGTAATACCTGTTTTAATCATACACAATCCCATTAAAACGTAAGTATCTGTTTTGTCAGAAGGAGACTCTTGTGGTTACAGATCAACTTACAACAATCAGGTAAGACTAAAATCATGTTTTCAAATTTTTCCAACACAGTCAAAAATCAAGATTTTACAAACCCAATGGAGAAGAACCTCCCAAAGGAAATTTACTGCATGTCCACCAATGTTATGTGCCTATGGAAGAAGTTCAGTTTATTACTGGTCAGTTCTCAGCAGCCGAAGTCCACTGCATCCAGGTGGCCATCGCTGAAACTTTCTCTATACTGAAGCACTCCTGGTCAAACGAGGGATTACAGTGTTTATATGTCCAGGTCTTTTCTTTGAACCTGATGAATCCTGACACCATCACAGAAATGCAAATATTTTGTGGTACAACCTGCTTTATAAGTATATTTAGTTTGTCTGGCAAGTCCAGTCTGGTCACCACTCTCTGCGTCGCACCTTCAGTCAGGCTCAAGTTCGGCCGTGTAATCAGATCTTTTCCCATCTTTTTTCCCCTTTCTTCTTTCCTTATCAGAAGCAATATTTGTTTTGTTACAGACAAAACCAGGCCTTGTTCTTACTCTACTCTGGTGTTTCGGTTGGTGATGAAATGGTTCATTCCTTCAGAGTATTT